CCCTGAACTATATACTTTACTTTTTAAAGATTTTTATTTTTAAGTGATCCCAACATGGGGCTCAAACTCGCAACCCCGAGATCAAGAGTCACATGCTCTACCGACTGAGCCAGCCAGGCACTCCATGAACCATACACTCTAAATGGATGAATATTTTGGTATGTATATGAACATATGTATATCTCAATAAAAATGCAAAAAATAGCATTTTTGTTTTAGAAAAAACTGGGGGAAATTTCAATACAGTCTATTGGATGGTATTTGGGAGTTGTTAATTTTGTCAGGAGTGGTAATGGTATTATAGGAAGGGTTTCATGAGTCTTTATCTGCTGTAGATGGAAAACATTTTTCAGGGAAATCTCTGAAGTCTAGATCTTACACCAGTGCAGGAATGCTTCCCTCTCCCCCTGTCTCCCTGGAGGCAACCAGGGGCCTAAGTTATAAGTTACCTGAGCAGGAGTCACCCCCCCCCACCCCCATCACACACACACACACACACACACACACACACACACACACACACGTAGTCCAGGGCAAACCCAGAAAAGGTGGCAAACCCCAGAGCTTTGGGAAATGGGAAGGCAGGCTAACACCTGCCTTCCCTGCCTTTCCTTCCCAGGGAACAGCAATACAAAGGTACTTGCCAGCACCCTGAAGAGGTGCTGGCCACATAGAAAGTTCATTACTGTTATTGCAGTAACCTTGACCCTATTCTCTAAAACCCCAGAGTGTTTTCACACCTTTCAGCTTTGTTATGAAATTTTCAAACATTAACTTAAATTTAAAATCATTTTAGGGGCACCTGGCTGGCTCAATGGGCTAAGCATCCGACTCTTGGTTTTGGCTCAGATCATGATGTCACAGTGTTGTGAGTTTGAGCCCTGCATCAGGCTCTGCACTGGCTGTGCGGAGCCTGCTTGGGATTCTTTCTCTCTCTGCCTCTCCCCCACTGGCGCTGTCTCTGCCTCTCTCAAAATAAATAAATCAACTTTATTTTTAAAAATAAATAAATTTAAAATCATTTCAATTTGTGGGATCTGCATCAGGAGTTTTTCAGTGAGTCAAATGGGAAGGGAGTTTTGAAATCAGAAAAAGCAACAACAGGTTGTAGCAATCCCCACAGGGACCTCGACTTTATTTATGGAAACCGGGTCAGCCAGAACGGTATTTTGTTGTCGTTGTTGTGGTTGTTGTTGTTTTTCAGTAGGCTCCACCTGCAACATGGGGCTTGAAGTCATGACCCAAGAGATCCAGAGTAGCCTGCTCTACTGACTGGAGGCAGCCACGCGCCCCCAGAATAGTCTAAATAAACAGTTGATGTGGTCTCTTCTTCTCTCCTGTGAGGCTAATGGCCAGGGGTTATCATCACAACTGTGATAACCGAGGTCTCAAGGACACAGTCAAGGACCTCCAGACTCAGCTTTTTAGAATCTGGCCGGGCTCATTGGCTCATTCCAGCGTGCACTTGCGTGCACTTTCTTTTTTCTTTTTTTTTTTTTTTTTTTTTTTTTAAATTTTTTTTTTCAACGTTTTTATTTATTTTTGGGACAGAGAGAGACAGAGCATGAACGGGGGAGGGGCAAAGAGAGAGGGAGACACAGAATCGGAAACAGGCTCCAGGCTCCGAGCCATCAGCCCAGAGCCTGACGCGGGGCCCGAACTCACGGACCGCGAGATCGTGACCTGGCTGAAGTCGGACGCTTAACCGACTGCGCCACCCAGGCGCCCCCAGCGTGCACTTTCTAAAACTCACGTTCAGGGCCAGCGGCCGGGGAGATGCGCACGGGGCCTTGGAGCCTGCAATTCTGGGAAAGCTCCGCAGGTGGGGCTGGCGGTCCCGCAGGCGCAGGAGGCCCCGGGTCAGAGCCTCCCCGGGGGGCTGCGGGGACAATACGCAGGGCGAGCGTGGGGAGCACAGTTTTCCTAACTCGGCAGTCCTCAAGGTGCGGGGCGGGAGGAGCGGGGCGGGGAGCGAGTTGGCTCCCAGCGGGCATTTGGCAGAGTCTGCAGGCAGTTTTGGTTGTCACCACGAGGGGGCACTTCTGGCACCTGGAGGGTGGAAGCCGAGGACGCTGCTTAACATCCCACAGCGCACAGGCTGACCCTCACGAGGAAGAATTATCTGTGAGGGTGACAGCCGCTGCAATCTCAGCCTGCAGTGCCCGAGCCCCAAATCTGGCGTGCGCTAACCATGCCTGCAGAGCCCCGCAAACCTTCTCTCAAGAAGCCTCCTTGGTGCCGACCCTAGTTTTCTGGGCACCATTCACTCTGTCCGGGGTGGGTGCCAGGTCCAGCAGGCTTCTCTTTCCACACTTTGGGCCTTTGCACCTTGATAGGCGCTCGTAGAGGACAGCACAGGACACCAATCTGGCCAGCCCCAGAGAAAGGGGTGGGGGGAGGCAGGGGCAGGGGACGTGACCTGGACATCCACATGGTGTTTGGTCTGCGGGCCTGACTGGCTGGTGCTGCAGATACTTAGGTAAGCAGCTTGCACCATCCCAGAACAGTTACCATAGCAACCCCCTTGAGGGAGTAGCGTGGGGACCGTCGCTGCGGTAACCCCAAGCAACCTCAGCCAAGGCCAGGCCAGGGGGACGTTCTCTAATCCTAGATGCACAAATAGTCCTCTGAAGCCATGCTGGAGCCCGTCCAGCAGCGCCCTTCATGTGCTGGCTGGGTCACTCTGGGTACTGTGCATTCTAGAAACCTCCACCCACTAGGGCAAGTCAGGGACAGGCTGCTTGGACACTGTGTCCACCTCTCCAGCCTCCGAGGCCTCTGTAATCTACGCTGGGGCACCCATTCAGCCTTCTTTGTCTCTGGCAACAATTCTCGTCTTAAAGTCTGTCTTGTCTGATAGGAACAGTGTGACCACTCTAGCTCTTCTGATAACTGCTTGCATGGAGTACCTTTTTCCAAACTTTTATTTTCAACCTATTTGTCTTGGAATCTAAAATGTGTCTTCTATAGACACGGCATAGTAAATCACGCCTTTTTTCTTTTAAGTGATTCTGCCAACCTCTGCTGTGTGTGTGTGTGTGTGTGTGTGTGTGTGTGTATGTGTGGTAAAATGCACAGGATACCGAAACAAAATTAATTCAGTGGGGCATTTGGTACATTCACAAGGTTGGCAACTGTCACCATGACCTACTTCTAGAACATTTTCATCACCCCGAAGAGAAACCCAATACCCATCAGCAGTGGCTTCCCATAGTCACCACCTCCCAGCCCCTGGCAACCACTAATCTACTTTCTGTCTCTACGGACTTGCCTTTTCTGGATGTTTCATGGTTTCACTCATAGGTGGAATTTAAGAAACAAAACAGATGGGGGCACCTGGGTGGCTCAGTCGGTTAAGTATCTAACTTCAGCTCAGGTCATGATCTCGCCATTCCCAAGTTTGAGCCCCGCACCAGCAGGCTCTGTGCTGAGAGATCAGAGCCTGGAGCTTGCTTCAGATTCTGTGTCTACCTCTCTCTCTGCCCCACTCCCTCACATTCTGTCTGTCTCTCTCTCTCTCTCAAAAATAAACAAACATTTAAAAAAATTTTTTTAGAGAAACAAAACAGATGAACGTAGGAGAAGAGAAGGGAAAAGTAACAGGGAGGCAAACGGTAAGAGACTCTTAAATACAGAGAACAAACTGAGGGTTGCTGGAGGGGAGGTGGGGAGGGGGAGGGGCTAAATGGGTGATGGGCATTAAGGAGGCCACTTGTTGGGATGAGCACTGGGTGTCATATGTAAGTGATGAATCACTAAATTCTACTCCTGAAACCAACACTACACTATATGTTAACTAACCTGGATAAGAAAGAAAGAAAAGAAAGAAAGAAAGAAAGAAAGAAAGAAAGAAAGAAAGAAAGAAAGAAAGAAAGAAAGAAAGAAAGAAAGAAAGAAAGAAAGAAAGAAAAAAGAGAAAAGAAAAGGAAAGAAAAGAGAAGAAAAGAAAAGATGGAAGAAAAGAGACACAGAATCATGCACTACGTGGTCTTTGCATCTGGCTGCTTTACTTAGCATGGGATTTCACATTGGTCCGCATTGCCTTGCCTCTCAGCCCACCTTGGCCAGACTTCACCCTCTCCCTGTCCCTCAGGGCTCCCGGTGCCTGACTTCGCTGAGCTCACGGTGACCCCAGTTTCCCTGTTCAGTTCAAGTCTCTGGATAACGCTCCGAGTGACTGCTGCCTGGGCACCCAGAATACCTCGAGCTCCGTCTAAGCACTTCCGACGCATTACCTTGTCTCGTACCAATCTTGAGGCAATCCTGGGAGGAGGAAACCATGATCATCCCCCACCCCCTGGTCCAGTGGGTAAGCAGCACCATGCTGAGCACCCCCACATTCTTATGCCCCTCACCTGCCCCTCCCAGCTCAGGTTTGCGCCGGCAAATTAGGACATTTGCTAACACTGTGTGGCCCCAAGTGGGTTAAACTTCTCAGTGCCTCAATGCCTCACCTAAGCTGAGGGTGATCATCGCACCTGTCTCCTGTGGGTGCTATGAAAATGAAAGGGGTTAACAGACATAAGCCTCTAGCTCACCCGGAGCAGGGGAGTGCTTCTTCTACTGGGAGGGAGCCAAACTTCCCTTCCCTGGGCAGGGAGCCAAACAGAGCCTCAAGGGCAAAGGGGACAGTGAGGGAATGGCAGAATCTGGTCTGTGTTTCTGAACTCTCTTCATCACCCGAAAAGGAGACCCCAAAGCCACTGGGCTATCTTTCCCCTTTCCCCCTTCCCCCAGCCCCTGCCAACCACCTGTTGGCTTCCTTTCTCTATGGATCTGCCTGTTTCACACCACAGGTGGCCTTCTGTGTCTGGCTTCTTTCCTCAATGCTTGACAAAGGGTGCAAGCTTGGAGCTTTGGTTCTGCCTGACTCCAAAGCCCCATCCCCCCCCCCCCCGTTTGGTGGGGGAGAGCCCATCACAAGGGGCAAAAAGGGAGAGGGAGAAGGCGCCTGGGTGGAGAGCAGGAAGGGCAGGAAGCTTCCGGACCAGGTGGTTTACCTTTGCGATGGCTTCTTCATTGCTTTCCACCATCTTCCGGAGCTTTATCAGGTGCCACAGATCCTGGGCGGGCTGGCCCTTGCCCCGGCTGCCCTCCAGCAGCTGGGAAGTGGATGGCAGGTCCTGCAGCATGGCCAGCTGGCTCTCCATCTTGTCGATGCGGCTCACCACGTGGTCAAAGACGTTGCTGAGCCTCTTCATGGGGAGCAGGATGGGCTGGGCGTCTGCTTCCCGGGGCATGAACGTGGCCAGCGGGGTTTGGAGAAAGTCCTCGTCTCCCGAGAGGACCTTCTTGAGCTCAGCCAGGTGGATGTGCTCCAGGATGCCCTGGAGCAGGAGGTGCAGGGCCTTGAAGTTCACCACCCCGCACTGCGGGATGGCGATGTTGACCAGCTCAGAGAATGTGAGCGAGAAGCTCATTCTGCAAGGAGGGGAGGCTGGGCTGGGCTTCTGGGTGTCCACGGGGACAAGTGGTGGCTTTCAGGGGACACACGAGCTGTGCAGACAGGTCCTCAGAGGCCCAGGGAGGCTGCAGGTCATGGCGGTCAGAGAGAAAATGGCCTCTGTGCTGGCCGGAGCTCAGGTGAGAGCTTCTGGTTGCTAGGACACCAAAGAACGTGGGCAGGTCGGCGTGCTTCCGGGGGCCTGGAGTGGGGCAGGGTGGGCGTTCAATGAAAAGTTGATGAGTGAACAGAAGGAGGGTCAGCCTTTCATGTCAAGCCCTTCAGTTATGTAAGACCCATGACCCCTTCTAAGAAGCATGCAGTGAAGGTGATGGGGAGGAAGCTTGCTCTTTGGAAGCCTTTAGAATTAGGACAGGAAAACAGTTCTTGGAGTTAGGAGAAAAGAGGACGTAGAAAGGAGTCTGAAGAGCTAAGCTGGTCTCCAGACATGAGCCAAAGGCCCCACAGATGTTCAGGCTTCTGGTGGGGGGTGGGGGTGGGAAGGGCAAGAGGCAGCTGGCTTTCCACAGGTCTGAACTCTGCATGGCCCTGCCCACCCCGGTGAGGACATCCCCACCAGGGTGAGGACACCCTTGCCAAACCTTGCTCTGCTCCCCGCTAGAGTCAGGGCTCCAGAAGCCCCCATGCCCCGAGGACACGGCTGTGAGCCAGCTGCCACTTGGGCTCCTATGTGGTCAGGCCCTGCTTGTGTCAATTCTTGGACAAGAATGCTCATCCTGGGGGCGCCTGGGTGGCACAGTCGGTTAAGCGGCCGACTTCAGCCAGGTCACGATCTCGCGGTCCGGGAGTTCGAGCCCCGCGTCGGGCTCTGGGCTGATGGCTCAGAGCCTGGAGCCTGTTTCCGATTCTGTGTCTCCCTCTCTCTCTGCCCCTCCCCCGTTCATGCTCTGTCTCTCTCTGTCCCAAAAATAAAATAAATAAACGTTGGAAAAAAAAAGAATGCTCATCCTGGTCTCCTGGGGAAGTCTGCAGGGAAGGTCCTTGGCTTAACCCCAGGAGCCCCACTCCTGGCACATCCCTGGCACACAACACACGCTGCTTCTGCACAGTGCACGGCATGAGCCCTGCTCAGGGGTATAGTTGGCTGAGGGGCAGTCTCCCCCAGCTTGCCCACAAAGGGTGGAGCACCTGTCCACTCTGGGTTCATGGAGATGTGTGCATGTCTCTTTCTCAACAGCTGTGGGACCTTGTGCAAATGACTTAACCTCTCTGAGTCTCCGCTTCCCCGCCGCCTAATTGGAAACAAAACCTTCCATGTGAGGTGGCCAAGGGGAGGGGCAGTGTGTGTGTGTGTGTGTGTGTGTGTGTGTGTGTGCACGTGTGCTGCAATAACACATGTGAAGTGCCAGCCACTCTGACTCAAAAGAATTCCTTTCCCTCAGAACTGACCTGATATTCCACTCTTGCCAGTCAATGATCATGGCTCAGTCAGGTGAGCATCCAACTTCCACTCAGGTGGAACTCACAATTCATGAGTTCGAGCCCCGTGTCGGTCCTCTGCTGTCAGCACCAACCCTGCTTCAGATCCTCTGTCTTCCTCTCTCTCTGCCCCTCCCTCTCTCTCTTAAAAAAAGAAAAAGAAAAAGCCACCGAGATGCCTGGGTGGCTCAGTTGGTTAAGCGTCTGACTCTTGATTTCGGCTCAGGTCATGGTCTTGGGGCCATGAGATCAAGCCTCCACACCCAGTGCGGAGCCTGCTTGACTCTCTCTCTCCTTCTGTCGCTCTTCTCCCCCCAACCCCTGCTCTCATCGTCTCTCTCTCTCTCTACCTCTCTAAAAAAAGAAAAAGAAAAAGAAAAAAAAGCCCCCTGGCTCTCTAGGGAAAGACCAGCTGGAGTCTGGGGCACGTATTCACAGCCTGGGGTTGGCAATCAAGGCTCCAGTTCAGGACCTGGTACCAGAGCAAACCAGGACACAGGTTTGCTTCTGATAATGAACTGTGTGGCGGGTGGCTGACGTATTCTGGGCAGTCGGTGCAGCGGCTGTCCTATGAGGGGACAGGACGATTCACTGTGCAGGACAGCGGGAGGGTGGTAACCACAGCTCAGCTGCGATGGCTTTCTCTGAACAACCTCCTGACCAGCAACACTTGGGACAGCGAAGCTTGGGACTCTGTGGGCCAGGTTTCTGAGGACTGACTGTGTGTGCTTTTGGCTACGTGGGGGTAGAGATGGAGGAAGAGAAAAGCGGCCCCTGACATCGGGACCTGGCCTGGCGCCATGGTCCCTGGGGCGCCTGTGAGGCCCAGTCGGTTGAGAGTCTAACTCTTGATTTTGGCTCAGGTCGTGATCTCGCTGCTCACGAAATGGAGCCCCACGTGGGGGCTCTGCACTGCAGCACCCGATCCAAGACATTCCCCCATCACCTAACATGGACCCAAGTCCTGTAAACCCTTCAACTTAACCCTCCCAGAGAGTCCTGTGGGTTCCCCCTTGTGCTACAAGACCCAAAAATTCAAGTGCCGCCCTGAAACCTTCCAGACACACAGCCCCCCGCCCTCGTCCAGATGTGCACCCCCATTGTCGGGCAAGGCTCCCCCCAGCCAGTCCCCCAGTGGCCACGCTCCTCCCTGTTCTCAGCATGCAGGGCTTCAGTTCCCTGCCAGCCTGCAAGCCAATCACATCCTCCTGCAGGCACCCCACCCCCTCATTAGAAAGAGCAGCCCAGAGCTCCGTGCTGGTTCACTGTGTTCCTGACTGCAACCCCAAGTGGCCCCATGTGGCGGGCGGTGTTCTTTTTCCCCCACCAGTGAGCGTATGTGGCTGATAACTGCTGTCCTGGCCAGCCCTGGGGGTTGTACTATTGAGGGCACATGTCTCCCCCTGCCCCACCAAAGGGGTGAATGGGAGGTAATCAGGACACGGACTGTGTGGGTTCTCTCTTGTGGCAACAAGTCAACAAGACCAACTTTGCTCAACACAGTGGCTTCTTGGCTGGAGGGGTTCATTCTGCGACTTAACGGAAAACCTTTCAGTGGGCAGAGTTTCGTGGCTTTGGGAACCGCAGGCAAGGGGCTGAGGAGCTGTATTATTACAGAATCACGGGCAAGGCTTTCCTTAACAGGCAAGGGAAAATAAGAGGAAACAGGCAGGTTAGCACAGAAACAAGACGGGACAGGTCAGCACGGGGCCAGACCAGGGGTTCCCCATGGGCCTTACAAAGAAATGTGAGTGACAGAATTGGAAGCAATTCTCGGTCACTGGGGGGCCAGGGTGGGCAAGTGGGTGTGAGGGTGCTTTGTCATTTGCAGGGGATGCCCGGCATCCGGAACCACCCGCGTACTGGCTGGCGAAGCCTCCACTTTAGGAATCCTGGTTGGAGGTGACCACAGCCCACAGGTTCCCTGGCTCGCTTTGAAGCGAGGGCATGACCCCGTGCTTGGCTTTGGCAGCTCTGGGGCCCAAGGGGTATGTTCCTCTGGGGTCTAAGAACGTGAGGCTAGTAAATGAGCCTGGGTTGCAACAGTTCAGAGAAGTGGAAACTCATCTCAAAGAACCCAGTCTGGTCTCAGGCCTTCAAGATAGGGCTGCAAGCCGACTGCAGAGACACGGATGTATTTCCCAGCACCAAGCACTGGGCCTGGCAGTGAGTCTTCATTCTTTTCTTCAACCAGTATTTATTGGGCACCCCGCCACATGCTGCGCTTAATTATGGAGGAGACCACAGTAAGCAGGTCTGGGGGGCAGTCTCTGATCTCACAGAGCTTGCTGGCTAGCGGGGGAGACATTTATTTTACAGGAAAGAAATAGACTAAGGTCAGGGAGGGATAGGAGTTAGAAACATACTAAGACGGGACAAAATGAGAGTGTGGGAGGGGCACTAATTTAAGCGGGCTGGTGGGGTAGCCAGCCTCTAAGACGGCCCCCCCCCCAAGATCTCCCCTGGCAAAGACCCCCTTCTGTGGCCCCGCCCACTCTGCAGCAACAACCCTGTATATCTGCCCCAGTGTATCCTGGATACAACGTATGAATGTTTACTCCCAGTCTGCATCTATGGACACACATGCATCCACTCACTTCACATCACAGAATGGCAAGATTTGAGAAAGCTGTGTATGTTGCAGGTGATTTGATGCCGCTGAATCAAAACAGTTGTGATCAAATGCAGAAAAAGAAAAAAGCCATCGTGTTAGAGAAGATCCAAAAACTTTAAAAATCATGTCATTTTAGGTCTGGAAATAGAACACTTGTTACAAAATCAAAAGACCTAAAGACCAGACTGCCTGAGTGGAAGAGGTCACAATGCTGCTCCACAGGGTGTTCCCTGCTTCCTGGAGGATTTGCTGTCCCCAGGAAGCGACCCTGCCCTTGGGTCACCGGTCATCACCAGTCATTTGGCAACGCTGAGTTCTGACGGCAGAACCATCGCTCAGACAATTTCAGGACAAAGTTGTCACTGGACATTCTCTGAGCGGCTGGTCGGAGCCAGAAGCCAATTAACATGGTTGGAAATGACCATTAGCGTTTTTTCCCTCCCAAATAAGTTAACACCAATGATTAAATCTGTTTTGTAAAATGCCGTTCATACGTTTTTCCCAGACCAGCCATTTTTCATGCTGCATAGATGGCTAAGAAGGATAACCAGGTGCCTTTTCCTCCCAAGCTCCAGGAAGAACTGGACGCCAGGGCGAGTACTGCTGGTGAAGGCTCAGAGTTTGTGGTTAGTCAACGCGGCCATTTCTGGCTGCCTGGTATCTGGACATTCTCCTAACTTGGGGTGAGGGTTAGGGGTTGGGGGGGGAATCTCATGACAGGTGCAGGCAACCTGCCCCCTGCTCAGAGACTGTCCAGTCAGATCTCTGCCACCCCACTCGCCTCTGTCTCATTTGTGGTTAGGTGTGAAAAATCAACAAAGCAACTGCTGCTCCTGGTTCTGAAATTCAGGACCAATATTTTCAAGTGCAAATCACCTGTGGACTGGTCTGCTGGAAGCTGGGGGGCCGTGGGGGTGGCGTGT